GAGGTCTTGTCTCCACCTCAGGCTGTCAGTTCCTCCACACTGGTTTCTTGCCGCTCTCTGCCTGGGAAATTCAGGCCAATTTCTTTCCTCCAGAACTGCTGCTTCAGCCCACTCGGTGCTCCGAGGCAGGTCCTGTCCCCCAGAACATTCTATTTCCCTAGCACACCCACACTAATTTTGTCCCGAGAAGAAAGCACCCAAAGCCTTTTGTTAGCAGTATATACCAGTGTGGTGGGGAAGACGAGCCATGGACAAATGCTGCCCAGGGCAGGGTCCAGGATGGGAGACAGAACGGGGCAAGGGGGATCTTGATAACCTCCAGGTGGAGACTCAAGGAGGACCCAAAAATGGAGAGAGAGAATTGTAAAGATCCGTTATTGCCTGTTAGAAATCTACTATGTGAAACCAGAGAATGTCTCCCATTTCCCACAGTACGAGGGACTAATACACCAAGCAGTGGTCACCCTGCAGAGCAACAGAAAAGTAACATATGTATATGCATATATGAAGGTATTCTTACATATATATGCATGCACACATAGATATGTATAATATAAATATTAATATGCATCACATGGGGCAAGCAAGGAGAAGGAAAACTCTCTCACAAGCCAGGGGACTAAAAGTGAAACTGGAATTCCCCAGAGGTAAGCTGCTGCCAAAGCTGGCTTTGTCCTGGGGACATCTGGCCAAGCCAGGTCACCTGACCACACTTGGCTCTGGGGTGAGAGGAAAGCCTGGGCCTGCCCTGCTCAAGAGTCAGACAGGGAGCCACATAAAGCTGGGGTCCCCAAAGGGCTGCGCTGTCACGGTTGAAATAAGTTAGGGGGAAACCCTAAAGAGGACACTTGCCTTTATCAATCCTGGCATGGGAAGAAAGGAAAAAACCCTCCCCTGAAGTCATAACCACAAGCCAGCCCTAATGTGGATATTATATAGCTGTGTGGCCCATAACGCTCAGACTAAGACTTTAATTTAAAGGGAGCCGAATCGAAGTGACCCTCAGTATCTGGCTGAAGTAGATGTGAATTATCTCTGGAGGTTCCCATCTGCAACATAGGCTTCAAAGGGTTTCTGATGATTAAGTAGAAAGGCCCATCGGCAAAGCTCACAGAAGACACACAAGGGAAAAAGGACCATGAGCAAGAGTCAGCGTAGACAACAGGCAGCAGCATCAGACCAAAAAGACAGGCTTTAGGCATTAGCTCATCAGACACAGAACATAAATAAAGGTGCCTAAGGAATTAAAGAATTAAAAGAAGGGAACAAACATATGAATAAGGAATAAGAGACTATAAAAGGGCCATGAAATTTTGAAAAGAAAGCAAATAAAACTTCTAGCAACAAAAACCTATATAATTGAAATAAAATGGAGTAACCAGCAAAGTCAATGCAGCTGTTATAGTCAAGGTGCCTCCCAGCTACAGCAGCAACCCGTCAGAGAGGTGAGTTCAAGCATTTCTTGCTCACGTACAGTTCAAAGCTGGTGTTCCTTTATGGCAGGCAGCTCTCCCCCCAGAACAATCCCACCTGTGGCTCCACCATCTTCAGCACATGGCTACCAAGGTCACCACATTGCCCGCATCACCTGGGGATCACCCAGGCATCCTGGAGCACCAAGGGCCATAGAGGGACCAGGTGTGGGTACCAGGCTCTTCGATGTTGCATCTTGCTTCATTCACATCTCAGTGACTAGGACTCATTCCCCGGCTGGGAAATGTGGTCTAACTCTGTGCCCAGGAGCAAGCGAAAGCAGGTTCGGTGAGTGGCCAGGCTGTCTGGACCACAGCAGGTGAAGAAGTGTGAAGGTCCAGTCAACGGGAGCCTCAGCTATTATTTTGCTAACTGCACTCTTGAAAGCCCTGCCCGTTGTTATTTCCGTTAATCCTACCGACTCCCAACCTGGGAATTAGGCTAAGCAGGGAGGATCCTTCCCATTTTATAAGTAGGGAAACTCATGCTCAGAGAAGAGCAGGACTTCCCACAACACCACACTGATGCCTTTCTCTCCAGATGACAGGGGGAAAGGGGAGGGATCACAGAGCCAGACCTCCTCTATATGCCTCTGTGTTTTCAGCTGAGCTGGTGAACCCACCAGCCTAGGGGCCAGTGAACCCAGGGGCCAAGGAGACCAACCGGAGGTCAGAGCAGTGAGTCTAGAGTTGAGCTCAGCTTTAACACTGGCTTCCTGGGGCATCAGGTCTGCATCTGCCCCACCCCAGTAGAGCTAAGCAGTCCCTGTCATTGGGTCAGCCAGCAAATATTTATCCAGTACCTCTGGAGTGCTGAGTAGTGTTGTGGGTTTCAACAAGCAGAGCCTGGGGGCAGGGGACATGCAAAATCCAGGTAAGGTTACCTGATGAGCTAGCTCTTTAGTGTCTGGCCCTGAACTCCAACTATGTGCTGGGTCCAGACCTCATATGATGGTATTCTCACCAGAACCCATGGACGGAGGGTCTTTCAGTTCTGTTTTTGCAGGTATAGTGATGGTGATGGTGGTGATGATGATGGTGATGGTGGTGATGGTGGTGATGATGATGGTGATGGTGGTGATGGTGATGGTGATGGTGATGGTGATGGTGATGGTGATGATGGTGATGGTGATGGTGATGGTGGTGATGATGATGATGATGATGATGATGGTTATGATGATGGTGATGATAATGATGATGGTGATGGTGGTGATGATGTGATGGTGATGGTGATGGTCATGGTCATGGTGGTGATGATGGTGATGGTGGTGATGATGGTGATGATGATGGTGATGGTGATGATGATGGTGATGATAATGATAATGATGCTGATAATGGGGGTGGGGGTGGTGCTGGTAGTAGTGATGATGGTGATGGTGGTAGTGGTAATAATGATGGTGATGATGGTAATGGTGGTGGTGGTTGTGATGGTGATGGTGGTAGTCATGGTGGTGATAATGGTGGTGGTGGTGATGGTGGTGAGGCCATCTGACATTATTGAACGCTATGTGCCCAGCAATGTTACAAGGTCAGATTGATTCTCTTCTTTAACTTTCATAGTAACCCTACAAAAAGCAGATTCCTTTGCCCCCATCTGACAGAGAAGGAAACTGAGGCTCAAGGAGGTGAGTGATTCACCCTGCATCACAGAGCAGGTGGAGGATGTACCCAGGATTCCCGCCCAGAATCTGACTCAAGCATTGCACTGAAACCACCACACCCCCCTGCCTCCCCCAGTGGGCTCTGAGCTCCTCCAGGACAGGCCCTCCATCTGACTGTCTCTATATCCGCAGCTCTGAGCCCAGGGCCTGCACATTGGCAGGTGCTCAGGGAAGGTCTATTAGGAATGGCTTGTGCACGATGATTTGTACAGATGTAAAATCCCACCTGTGCCTTAATGCATCACCTTTGCAAGCAATAAGCATACCGATCGATTTGAAACGCTTGTGGATAATTGAATGAATTTGTGCAGTTTTTGGCCAACCCAGATCAGTTGGCTGGCTCTCCCTGGAGGAATCATGTCCGGGACATCCCCATTGACCACTGCCCAACCAGCCAGGCCTCCCAGAACCTGCTGCCCAGGATCAAGGCACCCTGGCCTCTCCCTAAGTTAAACCCACCCGTGGGTGAGGACCCCATGAGCTCCCAGGTGAGAATGGCCTGTGATGCCCCCCTGCCTCTTACAGAGAAAGAGCCCATAGGGGCAGGGACTGGAGGAGGGGAGGTAGAAGCGTTGATCTGTTGCCGGAGAGAGAGAGAGTGGGGAGGAACACACTTCTCTCCAGACAAGCTGTTCGCTTACCAGCTGACTTTGGTAAAAGAAAAAATATTCCTAGTGCCATCTGTTCCCAGAGTGGGGCTGGTGTGGGGCCCGGGGCTTCCTGCCGCTCAGGCAGCCAGACCCAGTTTCAGAATCTGCAACAGCTGCCCCCCTGGATTATTTTGGGAAGCGGCTCAACTCCACAGCACCCCGGCCTTCCTTCGAGGCATTTCCCGTCACTCTGAAGCTGTTTGCACACCCGGCCCCAGACTGCCAGCTTCTTCTCAGGCCTGCCTGTCCTCCCGTTCAGCCACTGTCATCATCCCTCTTCCCACTTCCCCCGCAACCCCTGCAGGAGTCAGACTCCCCGGGGTGGGGGGCAGGGACAGCCAGCTAAACGGAGGGAAGGGCTCCCTGTCCACCTCCCTGGTCTCCTCTGTGAGACCCACGGCTTCCACCACCTCCAAGCGCCAGGCGGGACCCCCAGGCGTCCATCCCGTGCCACTGGGGGTTCCCCCTCCCTCACTGATGACTCCTCAAGGATCGCCCCTTTGTGAAAGCTAAGCTCCTGGAGCAGGGGGATGGGCATCTCGGGCAGGCGCGCGGCAGCAGAAAGGCCTGGAAACTCAGCTGAAAGCAGACGGGAAGGGTTGGGGTGGGGCAGGGGGTCGACCACAAGGCTGGCATGCCGGGAGGGCCCAGGGCATCGGATGCTGTGGGGAGGCTGGAGACCAGGAGGGATTTAGAGCAGGACACTAATGTAGTCATGATCCCAGGACAGAAAAACCCCAAGTGTTGGTGCGGAGCTGGGGTCAGAGGGGAAAAAGGTAGAGAGCCCCGCTGAGGAGTCACCGTAGGCCGGCCCCCCATGGGGGTGAGAGCCTGGACCACTCCAGAGGCAGAGGGAGGAGAGGAGAGTGTGAGTGTGAGAGGCAAGCCGAGGGCAAGACTTGGTTCCCCGGGAAAGGGGGAAGGGGGGTTGGATGAGCCACAGATCTGGGGCCTGGGGGCCAGGAGGTGGGACGGGGGAGGGGCGAGCTCTGACTTGGACATGGAGAGTGGGGTGGGTCCCCCAAGGGAAGCTGTGCCCGTGGGTCTGGTCAGGAAGGGGGATGGGGGGTGTCAGAGGCTGGCAGGGGGTGGGGGATGGAGTTACTGTCTAAGGGGGACAGAGTCTCAGTTTGGCAAGATGGAAGGAGTTCGAGGGACGGGTGGTGGTGATGGTTACACAGCAGCTCGAGGGTACTTGATGCCACTGAACCATACACTTCAAGATGGCCAAAACGGCCAGCTTATCGAGTATATTTTACCACAATAAAAAAAAAAAAACAACTGAATCCTGTGATTAAAAGGCAGAGGCATTCAGATTGGTCAGAAAGATACAACTATTTGTGTCTGTAAGGAATCCTCTTTAAATACAGAGACACAGAGAGTTTGAAAGTAGAAAGACGGAAAAGATACCTCGCTGTATTAATATCAGACAAAGGAGGTTTCAGAGCAGGAGATATTCCGGAGGATAAGGAGGCACAGGTGATGCTCCCGATGGGCACAGCGGCGGCAGTGGCCCCAGGGAGCAGAGATGGCCTGGCCCACACCAGCCCCCTACCGCAAAGCCCCTCCCCAAGTCCAAGGCCGTCAAACTGTGATGACCCCAGACCTAGCAGGCTCTGTCCTCGATGGGGGTCCTGAGCTGGGAATGCAGGGGAGAAGCCCAGCGGCAGCCCCGTGGGGCCCACCTCAGCCTTCCCCTGCCAGCCCTGACTCCCTGCCCCCTGTGCCTTGTCCTGGTTGGTTCCCACCCTACGTCGGCTACTGGGACGGCCATGGTCAACACTCCTCCAGGGTCTTATTCTTCGAGAAACATAGGCAGCAAGTGCCAAGTCTCAGCAGAGAGAGAGCAAGGCCCCTCCCTGGGACAGACTGGGGGACCACAAAGATTTCTCCTTCGGGATTTCTGGGCAAGGTTCTCTGCCACCGTTGTGGGGTTGGGCCTGGCCCACGCTTCCTCTGGCAAGTAACCCACTTAACTGCCCCAAGGGGCTCGGGGGCTTGGTTTTGGAGCCACGTCCATCCCCCTGAGGGAGAGACAGGCTAGCAATAGCTAACTGTGGGCAGGCTGGGGCCTCTGGCCATCTGCCCTGACACCCGAGAGTCCTTTCTGCTCCCAAGGTCAGGCCCTGGAGCCCGAGTGAAGGTCAGCATCACTGGGCTCTCAGCGGCCCCCATGGGTGCCCTCGGAGATGGGACTCCGAGCACCTTCCATGCCCAGCCCGTGGGAAGGGGAGCTGCACTGGGAGGGAGGTGGGGGGCAAGCTCGTACACAAGCAGATTGAACCGTCTCTCCCAGGACACTACGGCCTCCCCAGATCCCTCCCAGAAATAATACTTGTTAATATTAACTGAGTGAGGCCAGGGGGTGGCTCAAAACACCTCCATGCCTGCCTGCGGAATTCAAAGATACTCAGATGGACACGGGAATGGGGGTGGGGGTGGGGCCGGCACGCCGCAGACACACAGGAGACGGGGGGCACGGGCCGTGCGGTGGGGCAGGTCCCTCGGGGGCAGTGGGTCTTCCTGCTGCTGCTGCTGCAGGCAGGCGGGCTCCGAGAAGCAGCTTCTGGGGGCAGCGACCGCTAATTGGGGGGTCCACGGGGCAAGCTATCCGTGCTTTCCTGCAGCTTGTGCTTTCGAAACAAGCTGTAGAGGACCCGCAGCGTGCTCTTGGCGTCCTTGTTCACAATGTCTGCGGGCCAGAGGAGAGCAGGACAGCCGGTGAGGCCTCGGCCGGGGCGCGGAGGGGGGTGACCACAGTCCCACTTGGCCCGGGACCGAGGGGCTTCCTGGGACACGGGACGTCAGTGCTAAACCCGGGGTCAAACAGGACGGTGGGTCACGCTAGGCCTGAGTCCCGGGACCCATCACATGGCCCTGCCTCCCTCCTTCTCCCCCCTAGTCCTCCCCTGCACCCCTCTTGCGGTGCCCCCCACATATAATTCCTCAAGGTCTCATCCATCTGGACAGCCTGCCCCAGGGTCCCCAGCCCCCTGTGTCCTCTCCCCAGGCCCCTTCCTCCAGCAGGGTGGGTGGAAGCCGTCTTTCCGTCGTGGGAAGTACCCGTGCCAAGCAAGAGGACCACCCCGACATAGGCTGTCCCCCGACACCGCAGCACCCACATGCTCCATGCGCTCACCTTCGGGGTTGATGGGGTAGTCGAGCAGACCTTCGTCCTTCAGCAGCTCCAGGGCAAGGGTGACGTTGTGCAGCTGTGGTAAGACCCCACCAGATGTTAGCCCCAACCCAGGCCCAGGCCCCCAAGCCCCAGGCCTCACACTTCAAGGAGGCCACCTCTAGTGGGGAGGCAGTTATGGGGAGGGGCATCCGGTCCAGAGGCCAGGGAAGGCTTCCTGGTGGAGGTGACACCTAGAGGTAAGTCCTGCCAGGCAAGGGGACTTAGGCAGGGAAAAGAACACAGGTTTATCCTGGCCTTTTCTGATGGAGCCCCAGCACCGTGGGCAGCAGAGGCCCCATCGGAAACAGCTAAGGAGAGCAAGGTGCAGAGCGGCCAAGGGGCTCACCCGAGCTTGCAAGATGGAAAGTGGCAGGACCAGGTCTGTCTCACTCCGATGTCCGTGCAAAGTGGGCTGGAGGCTGGAGCAGCCGCCCATGCTAAGGCACTCGTGGGTTCAGATCCCTGCTCATGGGGTAACTTCCAGCAAGTGGCTTGACACCCCTGGACCTACCTTGCTCACCTGCAGAGTGGAGTCACCACCATCTCCCCCGTGTCCTGATCTGGGGTGCTGGGTGGGAGCCCAAGGGAGCCCGGACAGCCCTTGGCTCAAAGCACACACTCTGTTAGTGGGGTTTTCCCTATTTGTGGCTAGTTTCTCCCTTGGGCCTCAATACAATCAAAAAGACCCTGCCCTTCTCCTGGGGGCAGCAGCCTGGTGTGGGGCAAAGCAGGTCTAAAGCCGGTTTCCCAAGCTGTTTGACCATAGGATCCACTTGTCGTGGAGCACCTCGTGGGACCAGTGTTTTGGAAACACTTTGTCTACTCGCTCATTTAAAATACATTTATTGAGCATCTACTATGGGCTGGCCGTGTAGCAGGGGCCAAACCAGACCCCCTCCCTGCCCTCATGGAGTTGGTGCCCTTAGAACCGTCTCTTGACACTATAAACATGATCACACTTGCTTCAGCTCATCAAGCCCATACTCGACCTGAGCCCTGCAGTCTCCAGAGACGTCTCAGCATGCTCTACCCCAGGTGTCACTTCCCTTCCGTGCACGGCTTGAGATTATAAAAGTAAAACCACCACGTTGCACGGAGCTGAGGGAAGGTTGTAATCCAGGAGGATGTGCTCAAATCCTCCCGGGGAGAAATAATTGAATGTGGGAGGAAGCCCATGATTCCCTGTGCCGGTGTTTTGATTTCTGCAGAGCAGACGGTCGCCTCCCTCCCTCTGTCCCTCACTTGTCTTCCTGGAAGGGATGACAGCCTCACATAAACACCAGTGGCAAGGAAGATCTGATAATAAAGCATCCAATTTTGAGGGACCACTCTGCCAAGATTACGTACGACTCCTCGAGTGTCCCACCGGCGGAGAGGGCTGTGGTCCCCGCCCTCCAGCTAATGACCTCTTTGGCATTTTGATCATATGCTCCTGCGGCTAAGGTTACCTACAATGTCCTACAAAAATTCATCCTTGGGTCTGAGCAAAGAGGCTGCTTCTCGCCCCCCGTATGCAGTGTGGCTCAGATTGGGAAGTTGGTTCTCAAATCGGTGGCTAGAGCGGGCTCACGGCCCCCAGGGACATCAGGAGTAAGAACGCTTGTCCCTGGCTTGTAACTGGGGTTTGCGAGCGTGCCGAATCCTGGGCAGAGGCTCTGAAGTCCCATGAAGCCCAACACCCGAGTAACAAAGAGGGGACACCTGTGCTGTTCTGGGTCCCGGTTCTGAGCCCCTTCCCCAGGCTCCCCGGCCTGCGTGTGGCCCGCGCTGTTCCATCTTCCTGCCTTCTCCCCCACCTCCGTGTTCTGCCTTCTGGCTGTAGGGTCAGCACGGCCACCTCGGCCGGGCTCTGGCCCTCCTGGCCCTCCCAGTGGCCCGGCACAGGTCTGATCCATCCCCAGGACTATGGCTCTCACCTTCCCCAGGGCCACAGGAAGGCCAAAGGGGACAGACATCTTTCCTTCTCCCACAAATGGCCCCAAGGCTGGCCCTGGGAACTGGCCTGCAGCCCTGCTTGGTATTCCTGCTCTACAGAAGGAGCCACTGCTGTGGAGAGATAAAGGGGGTGCCTCCCAGCGGGCTACAGCGGCCGTGGCATGGACAGAGCTAAGCAGGCCACCTGGGGTCCTGGGCAGGCCGCCACCTGCCCAGTGCTCTAGCACATCTCAGCCACGCCCCCAGCATCACCTCCAGTAGGGCTGATGCTCACGAAGACTCCTGGCCGGTCCCGAGCAGGCCAGGGGCCCCAGGGACCACCCGCCCTTGATGCTTCCCCTCTGGGGCCCCAGGGACCACCCGCCCTCGATGCTTCCCCTCTGTGACCCTCCAGACTCCGTCTGGGTGGTCTGAGGGGTGGGCAGGGCAGGGATTGTGAGCCCACAGGGAAGAAACGAGAAGCCCGAGGTGCAGCCCATGAGCTGGTGGTGGAGCAGGGACCGGACTGAGGCTTCTGCTTCCTCTGCCACGTCTGCCCCGACGTGGGGCCGGATGACGGGGTCCGGTGCTGCCCCTCATCTGCAGAGTAGTGAGAATCCCCTGCCCTCACTGGCAGATCGATGTCTCTTGTGGAAGGGGCCTTCCCGGCAGGGGAACAGCCTGGGCAATACCCCGAGCAGGGAGAGCGCGAGGAGCTCTAGCACTGTGGCACCCCGTGGGAAGGCTGGGGAGGCTGGTGGGCTGAAGAGCAGAGCAGAGGAACAGGAGCCCGCCAGGCGGGGAGGCTGTGCGTGGGGACGCAGGCAAGCCACCGGCATTGTCATCCTCTCCCCGGCTTCCCCAGTTAGGACGCAGAACCCCCTGCCTGGACTGGTGTAGCCATCCCCCAAGCAGCCTGCCAGCCTGCAGGGGCCACAGGGGGACTCCCGACCCCTGCCATGCCCTGGCCCACCCCTGCAGCAGCGCAAACCACAGATGATACAACCCCGAGATTTCCGTGCTTCTGTCCACACCTGAGCCTTTGCTGATGCTCTGTTCCCGCCCCTTGGGATGCCCTCACTCTGCAAAGCAAACGCTGATCAACAACATGTGTCACCTCTTATGCCCTCCCAGGCTCCTTCAGATCATAGCAGCCACTCCTTCCTCCGGGTCCCCAACGGACCCACCCACCTGGAACCAACACTCTTCACCGTGGCCCTGGGGAACCACACCTCACTGAGAGTACAGTGGGTATAGACTAAAAGGCCCTCAAAAATAGGAGCTGTGTGGGACTGTCTTTATGACCCACACGCCACAGCCTGACACCAAGCAGGACCTCAAGAAATGAAGGATCAGGTGGCAGATGGGGGCTGGATAGGTGGATGGATGGATGGATGGATGGGCAGATAAGTGGGTGGATGGATGGATGGATGGGTGGGTGGGCAGGTGAATAGGTGGATGAACTGGGTGGATGGGTAAATAGGCAAGTCAAAGGATAGG